CTCATGCCAAACAAGTGAAACTTGGAATTTGGGCTTAAATAGCAATGCACTTCTTGCTGAATAGGGCAAGCAAAAATTTGTGCATGCAGTAATTTTGCAAAAATCATTCTGAATCTAACGGAAAAAATATTTCATGTTTATTAAATCATTGTAAACTTGTATAAAATATATTTAGTTGGATTAGGCTAAATTAAACTGCACTTGTTATAATAAGGTTAGGTAAGTTTCTTAAGGTTCTTTTGGAATAAAATCATTAATTTTTATATTAGAAAGGACTTAATTTTAAACGAGTTCTTGCTAACTGACCAATTTTACCTATTTGGCATGACATATATATATATATAATATATTATATTTATTATATTATATATATAATAAATTATATATAATAATAATTATATAATTCTTTATATATATATAATAATATATATAATAGTTTTACATAGTTTTTCTAGTACACATGTTCAATAGTGTCAAGAGGCTTTAAAACACTTGTACATGTATATGTACAAAGTGAAATAAAGCTCTCTCCATTACAAATTCTTTTATCAATAATTAAAGTGAAATACATTAATATAAACCTCAGGTTATCTATAGAGCTGGTGTACATTTGATAATATGTCAAATATTAACCTCACAGCTGGAGTATGCTTGCATAAACTGTATTAGTGTACAATAGTGTGTATGCTGCACTGGCCTGTACTACAGCAGTACAAGCCAGGTGTTTCTACATCATCCTCTATTACACAAGCTCTGCCCTCTAAACACAAGACCAACAATAGCAATTTGCCAAATGATGTTGGACAAAAAAATGAAAATAATATTATTTAAAAAAACTTTGCAGCCTATTTTTGGTCCCCATTTTTTTTTAATAAAATGTCATTTGCACTGAAAAAAAGGCATTTTGTATGCAATGTTCTGAAAAAGCTTATGAAATGTGAGCAAACCAGAACAAATAATAAATAGAAACACCCTACCCTACCAGCTAATCCCTAGAATGCACGCCAAAGTAAGCGGTTTTTTCTTTTCTAGGAAAGAGCTGCAGTTCCATATATACACGTATAAAAAAAAGGTGGGGGGGGGGGGGAGAAAGAGGCTAGTTTAGGACAATGCTAGGACTACGTAGCATACAGGCGTTCCTCACCTAACTTGTACGTCTTAATTTCTGAACAGCACAATAAACCACATTCATTTCTCGTCTTGCTCATACCTGTAGATCATTATCAATAATTTACTGTATCCTTTCTGTTTCATAATCAACCTCATTCAAAATGCACTACATCAGCTACATTCCTTTAAGCTAAATTATTAGTTACAGTATATTCAAAATTAAGATAATGTAGACCCATCTGCTTAAATTACATTTGATTCTATTTAAACTAACACCATGCATAATTTACATCAGCCTAAGCTACAGCCTACCAAAAAAAAAAAAAACTACTAAATATTGTCATTAAATATCCCCAAAACAGGACTTAAAACTAATCACCTGCTCTAACTATACATCTATTAAGATTCAAATTCAAAATCCAGATTTTGTATTTCAAGAAAACAAAACTTAGGTATGGTATTAAAGAAAAAATAGTACTGGGACATCAACATGTTAAAAACTACTAGACGATATTCTATCAGAACTACCTAAATCACATATCCAGTTCCTACATTAGAAGGAAACTTCATGCTTTTCCAATAAATTTAGACGTACCATTAAGAGGAGGAACGTTTCCACTACAAATAAAACTTGCTGCTGGTTGTGGCACTTATCCTCAGGTGTATGTGTGTGTGTTTTTGTATATACTTTATACATTAGGCTGCAGTAAAATAAGACAAATCTATATACACATATGCAACACAAACTAGTACCTATCCAACATCTCTCATTTCTGTACAGAGAAAGTGAGATAGAGATGAAAAGGTGAAAAAGGATTATCAAGAGTGCCTTGTATGACCTAGCTGAATGCATACCTAAAACCATGGTCTTCGGCAACCCAACAATCCGCAATAAAATAAAAATTGTTAAACTATCGCTGTGGAACTCCAAAAGTTTTCGTATGTACAGTATTTCGGTATTAAATGAATGAAAAATGAGCGATATTATAAACTATATTAATAATCCCATTATTAGCCAAGTATACCCTCTACCACTCACTGCCTGAGATCTGCAACAAAGGTTAAAGAGAGGAATAAACACTGACAAGGATACTCTTTACTTTTCGTAGTAGTATTTTTTCCTAAAGCAAATATCTACGTCTTTCCTAATTGTGGTGTATGGCAGTGATTTTTATACACGAGGCTCAAATTCTATGCCAAGCTAAGTTTGTTGATAACCGACTTAAGGGGCTGCCCTCTAAGCTCTGGTAGCATTTGACTCTAGGCTCTGAAACTAATATGGAGAGACACATTCAGAAATATGATTAGAAATGCACCTACCAATATGATAGAATCACGTCTCAATTTCAGAAACGTGTGTATTACGCTATTAATAGAACATGTCTCTGCAAGTTGTGGTCCCAGTGTCAAATGCTAGAAATTTATGTGGTGGCAGGCTACCTTACTGTAATAGTCAGCTTACACTTTTAATACAAGGGTTAAATTTTCAGTTAAAATAGGTGCTCCTGCTCTGTGCCTTTCCTCTACAATTAAAAACCTTTTTCCATTCTGATTTAATCAATTAGTCTCCCCACTTGGCTCTCTAATTGGTCTACCAGTCTCCTTCACTCTAATAGCCATGCTCTTGATTTGATTGGTCAACCAGTCTTCCTATTCTCACTCTGGTCAACTAGTCTTTGCACTATCTGGTTGGTCAACTAATTTTCCTGTTCTTTATCTGATTTGTCAACTGGTCTCCCTACTCTTGATCTGATTGGTCAACCATGCCAGCCTTGTTGCTCTAGCTGTTACCATCAGCAGGTCAGCAATGAATCCCTCTTTGTCCATGTCCAATGATTAGTCAAGTTTGGATACCCTGTTGGAACAGATTACATGAAAAATGCTAAATTGATAAAATCAAAACATTGAGAGGAAACAAAACATCAGGCCAAGTCTGACAACATTAAGTTTATGTAAGCATTTGAGCTGCTGAAATTCAAAGCACACTTACAACTTAGTAAAGTACAAGGGACCATTATTACATGTACAGTATGGTGCTATGGTATTAAGTGTCCGAGTACATGTACAAGTAAGCAGATTACAAGTACTGTACTTGGCATCCTTAAACTCGTGTACATCACTTAATCCTGTGAACTACTCAAGTATCTGTTGAACCACTAAGTACTGTTTTTACTTTTAAAGATTGAAATCTTTACCTGTAGCCAAGTAATTACCTGGACATTTGATTTTCAACACTTAAATATTTACATAAACACTTACGAATTGACAAACTCTAGTATTTACCTAATCAAGCAGGTAATTTGCCCTTTGGTGTTGCCAATAGGACCAGGAACCTGACTCGTCTGTGAAAAAGTGCTTCACAGGACGAGGATATGCCACATCTAATTAATTTTTAAGACATGAAATAGAAGGAATAAAGAGGGGGAAAGTGAGAGGGGGGGGAGATAGGTAAAGAGGGGTTGAGGTAAGATAGAAATGAGGGGATAGGAGTGAGAAGGTAGGGTTTACTGGAAGATGGGGGGGAGAGGGAAAGAGGAAAGAAATAGATCGGAAGGAGATAGGAAATGGGGAAACTATAATAAAGTTAAAGCCTTTACCTTTTTTTCTATCTGAGGCAAAGGAGAGACCCTGGAAGAAGTGAGGCACAAGTCACACTACACTGAAGATCACCACCACCACAGTGCCTAGAAGACTAATGCCAACACTAGTACTATGTACACTTCCTACAGCTACATGTTACACAAGTGCAAGAAAACACCCACTGAAACATTACACCCTAGGAGGCGTGGGGTAGCTAGGTAGTGAGAGGGGCTCTTCGAGATTCACACTAGACCTGACTAAATTTGTTCCTACACTGGTGTCAGGTCCGCTAAGAGAAAGACACTCAAAAAACACACGAGTATGTTTTGGGGGAAAACAGCAAAGGGGCCACCTCCATTGCTGTTGGTTGAGCTGTAACAGCCATGTTTAATATAGTCATGTCTGTTTTTGAGTTCATACAAGTCATTCATGAGCAACTAACTGGGCTGCCCTTTTCAAGGGTAACTCCTTCAAATGAGTGAGATTGCGTAGTAAGAAAGTGTATAGGGCAGAGATTGACAGCCCGAGTGCGTGCTTAAGTGGAATTCTCTGCCAAAAAGCTTTAATTCATAGCGGCAAGAATTCATCACTTTAGCCATCAAGGCAAAAATCTAAGCCTTTGCAAAATGCAGATTTCACCAAGGTCATTTTGTGAGTGGTCATATCAGTATGTATCACAGTAATGGTGTTACACCTTAAATCACAGCTTTATAGGAGTCGCCCCTTCTAGCTCTTGTCTATTAACAACCAGGATACACAACTGACAGTAATTAAACTACAATTTATGGATAGTGTAATTATAATCGCAATGAATAAATGCAAGGATAAATTCCAACACAGAGCAATATAACTGCAACTGCCATTATAGCCACAATGGATGGGCAATGTGACTATGCTATTCATTGTTACAATAATGTTATAATATAGTTACAGTGAAAAGAACAGATGCATAATGTACAGCATCTTGAGGAAATGGACAGTCTTATAAATACAATAAAAAAAAATTGCAATAGCATTGCGCGCGCGCACACACGCACACACACGAGAGCCATAATCCAACCTGCTCACTGATTTGTGCTTACAGGATATATACTGCAACCAAGAAAAACAGTACATCTTTGCATTCAGGTATCACTAAATAGGCTAGGTAGTGAAGCTAGCCACTATAAAACTAGACAAGAGCCCCTCATCTGCACTTTCCTACCGTTTACCTAAATAGCTTAATTATAATCGCTGTAATAAGTTCTTTAAGTGTCATTAAGACGGCTTACACCCTCAACTACAGGTGAAAAACGTCGTTTTTATCACAATTAGACACAAACTGCATTTACGAAGATCACACCTCACTCAGCGTTTACACACTTTCACAAAATTCACACAGCATATGAATTAAACTAATCTTTATTAATGGATGGCGATATATCTATACTTACATAACAACCTGCAGAGGATTCATTCACTCACTCACCTAGAACTTTGTACCTTCGTAAAGATGGGCTTCAGACGCCCGTGGACTTTTACACCACTGGACAAATAATTATTAGGATAATATTAAGGGATTCTATATATTAAGAGATGATAACCCCCTGGTATTATGTGGGAAGCTCAAGAGAACCACCCACTGCTGCTTATGATGGAGGCCTCACCACGCCACAGATACACACACCACAGCTAAACTACTCTATACTCTTGACCAAAGTGAACTGAACAAACCTTTGCCAAAGACTGGCCAATGTAAATATCGAGCATTTGCCAATGAAAACCTCAAAAACCGACCAACTGTAAACATCAAACCTCTAGCCAGCGAAAATTTGCCCCAAGATCAAAAACCATTCATCACAAGAATCTTTTTTGATCAACCCAAGTAAATAGCGGGTAATCTTTCTTAGTAAAATGTGATCTGGTGAACATAAACCAGGCCAAAGTTCACAGCATGCTCTACTCACAAGTGGCTCAGATAAACTGGAGATGCATAAAAGTTAAAGCCACTCTACACAAGAGGGCTCCTTAAACCTTATAATTAAGCCATGGTAACACTTAAAACAAAACACTAAACCACAAGTTTAAAATTAGCATTCACATAGTAAACCGTACCAACTTAGACAATTTTAATATAAATTTTATATTATATATATAATTTATATATATAATATAAATTTATATTTATATTTAAAACCCTCTAGCTACCTCGTTAAAATGTTGAATTATTCTACCTACACTGACAAATCTTTATGTAGATAAAAGATTACTGGGTTTATGTATCTAATTGATCCATGTTAAAAAACTAACATTCAGATTTTGTTTACATATAAATGGCATGGAGAAAATTCATAAGCACCAAGAAATGAAACTTTGGAACATGATGCAAATTCAAACACTTGGAGAGTAACAGTTACACTTTCTTCCCACAGATGGTGTTGGTGGGGTTGCATGTGGCGTCCTCTGGTTCCGGGTCTTGCATTTACCTCCACCACAGTTCTTCATTCCTCCATTCTCCCTCCTTCATATTCACGTGTTTGATTACTTAATGAGAGAGGTGAAAGGAGGAGGGAAGGAGATGAAGTTAAAACGTATCACTATATCAATCATCGCACAAGTACTCTTAGAAGCAGTCATGTTTGGCAGGGGGGGGGGGGGTTGATGGATGGTGTTCAGCGTTCTGAACTGAAAGCGGTTTGTGACATCATAGCATCACCTATTTTCTAGACGTTGCAGCGTAGATTTTCAGTTGCTGGGGTAGATCTGAAGTTAATATTTGATCCTGCTTGGCCTTGCTCGTCCTCTGTAGACTACTGGCCAAAGTTTCGTAGGAAGGGGGAAGAGGGTGCTCCCTGAAGTCATCACTTGTGACCTGCAAAACAAATTAACATTAGAAGGGGATAGGTGAGCCCATATCATAAAAGTTACATAGGAAACAACGTTCAATAACAGTCGTAAGTGTACAAGCATTTTAATAGTAATAATAATAATATATATATGTAGTAGGTTGGTAGACAGCAACCGCCCAGGGAGGTACTACCGTCCTGCCAAGTGAGTGTACAACGAAAGCCTATAATTGTTTTACATGATGGTAGGATTCCTGGTGTCCTTTTTTCTGTCTCGTGAACATGCAAGATTTCAGGTACGTTTTGCTACTTCTACTTACACTTAGGTCACACTACACATACATGTACAAGCACATATATACACACCCCTCTGGGTTTTCTTCTATTTTCTTTCTAGGTCTTATTCTTGTTTATTTCCTCTTATCCCCATGGGGAAGTGGAACAGAATTCTCCCTCCGTAAGCCATGCGTGTTGTAAGAGGCGACTAAAATGCCGGGAGCAAGGGGCTAGTAACCTCTTTTGTATATATTACTAAATGTAAAAGGAGAAACTTTAGTTTTTTTCTTTTGGGCCACCCCGCCTCGGTGGGATATGGCCGGTGTGTTGAAAGAATTTATTTATATATATATATATATATATATATATATATATATATATATATATTATATATATATATATAATATATATATATATATATATATTATATATTATACAATGTATATATGTGGTCAAATACGTAAAACTTGCTATTTTGGCTTAAATAGCAACGCACTTCTTGCCGAATAGGGCAAGCGAAAATTTGTGTATGCAATAATTTCCCAAAAATCATTCTGAATAATGAAAAAAATATATTTCGTTGTGTTTTATTAAATTATTGTAAACTTGTATAAAATATATTTAGCTGCACTTACCTAACCTTATTATAACTAACTGCGCTAGTTATAATAAGGTTAGGTAAGTTTCCTAAGGTTCTTTTGGTACAAAATTTTTATATTAACATAACTGAAAAAAATATATCTTTAAATGTATAAGAGAAAATTTTAGAAGACTATTTTAAACGAGTTCTTGCTAACTGACCAATTTTACCTATTCGGCACGACATTATATTCTGCACCCAAAAAAGATGCATAAACAGAACAAACAGTAAATGTATCTTTACACTGTTTTGAATACCCAAGAAAAACTTTACGTCAATTATGGCGAACTACAGGGATGCGAGGGTGATGTGTTTCTAACATGAATTAAGTACACAACAGATATTTAATTTCATTAATGCAATAGTTTGTTTGGTAAATAAGGTAAGCTTATGTAATCTTGTACTACTGACTTCAGGACTGACATGGGTGAGGGGGGGAGAGGGGTTACCACACACTAGTCGCTTCCCCGACAAAAATAATAACTGTATAAAATAATAACTAACTGTGTAAAATAATAACTAAATTTAAGACCGGCGTCGGTAACGATACTCTGACATTGCAAGACAACTGCTACTTTTAATAATCAATTTGTTTTACATAGTTCAATTTTCAAGCAAACAGCTTAAAAAGAAAACCTTTAAGGAATAATAACGTACATGGTTGACCATAAGATCCAGCACGTGGGGAGACCCAGTAAATGAGGGAAACGATACACGAAGCAGATATAAATAACTTGTGTGGCAGATGTTGACAAGAGGGGGGAGGGAGGAGGGGTAAGGCCGTCAGTTGTATTACTTTCTCCTTCCCTACTTCCCCCTCTCCTCCATGCGTGTCCTACCCACCTTCCTTCTACACTGATTTACTTCGTGTCTACAAGCCATTCTATGTGATAAAACATGACGGGGAAAATATAACTAGTCGTTTCCACCATATGTCATAAAATATGCAGCAGCACACTGATGTACTAAATATGTAAAAACTAATACAAAAAAAAAAAAAAAATGACGGGCCACTAGTGTCGACTAAGCTGGCGACGCCACAATGAGAACAGAAGCAGTCAACATGCGTAGCATAAAGCAAGTCTTGTGTGCAGTTCTCTAACTCACTTCCTGTATGTAATGGATTAATTAACCAGCCGTTGATCCTCTGGATAAGTATCCAAGTCAAATATATTTTAATAATCCATATCTATTTTATATTCCATTTTCAGCATTAACCCTTGAACTGTCCAAGCAGATCTATGTTCACATGCGTGGTGCTTCAAAAGTTGATCTACGTTTTTTTTTACATATTTTCAAATATAACAAAAAAAACGTAGATCAAAGTTTTTTTTTACACGTTTTCAAATGTAAAAAAAAATTTTTTTTTTTACACACTTTCAAATGTTGAAAAAACGTAGATCTACGTTCGGACAGTTTAAGGGTTAATTAGTATTATAATACTAATGGTGATTATCGTTACTATTAATTCCGTACCATCTGCCTCCTCGCATGCGCTGTCAGTTCACATTTTAAGATAAGCATGTATCACTGTTTACGTTTATACAAACCCTCTATAATGTACACTGATCTCTCGCTTAAAAAATTATAACCCCACCTCTTCGCACTCGCTTCCCATTATTCGTCTCATGCTGGCTGTCGTTTTAATAAACCAGAGCCCCCTCCCCTTAAAATATACATTATAAATCAAGGTTCTTCACTGTGCACAACACTGTGATACGCAAAAAAAAAAAAAAACGCGTCCTTCTTTCCCTTATTAGACATCACGACTAATAACTGCTCAAGTGACAATGAAAACCAACCATAGGAGAGAACGTGCTTCACGAGACACAAACCACAGCACAGTTAAGTTGGAGGCAAACCACTATACACCACATCAAGAGATAATCGGCTCAAAGTCAGTAATAAGTAAAACCAGTAGATAATTGTAGAGGCGCGAGGGCCAGACGCGACCCTTGCAAACAACTAGAATACAAATGCACAAGATCGACAATGCAGGAAAGTGTCACAATGTAAAGGTATGAAAGCGAAATCAGGTCTCGAAGATTAAAACATTTAACACAAATTAAGCAGGGAAAAAAAAGATCTGGAAGTCATTACAGTTAATCAAATGACACTTACAAAGGTAGCAGTGAGAAACCACTATGCTATACTCCCATCCTAAATGTAGGCCATTACTGTGTTGTAACTATTTTAAATCTCTAACTTAGGTAGGACACCGAATGCTCGCTACAACTTGTCAAAGATCAATGTCAGGAGACATGGTCTTGTTTCCTGACAAACAAAACACATTACTAGTAAACTTCACGATAGCTTTCATATAGATGCTGAGAAGCTTAACACAATCAAAACATTAGACCAAGATTGTAATATACAGCAGAAATATTCTGCCGGCACCAAAAATGAAAAATGCTACAAAACTGATTCTAGGGTAAAGAGTGCCCGTGGTTCGATCCCCTGCACGGGTGGAAACGTTGGGAGTTGACTTACACATGCTGCTCCTGTTCATATTTTAATACGTGTATGTGTGGGGGGGGAGCGTGTGGAGGGGAGCGTGTGGAGGGGGAGCGTGTGGAGGGGGAGCGTGTGGAGGGGGAGCGTGTGGAGGGGGAGCGTGTGGAGGGGGAGCGTGTGGAGGGGGAGCGTGTGGAGGGGGGGAGCGTTGTGGAGGGGGGAGCGTGTGTGGGTGGGAGCGTGTGTGAGGGGGAGCGTGTGTGGGGGGAGCGTGTGTGGGGGGAAGCGTGTGTGGGGGGGAGCGGTGTGGGGGGGGGTGTGTGGGGGAAGCGTGTGTGGGGGGGAGCGTGTGTGGGGGTGTGTGAGCGTGTGTGGGGGAGCGTGTGTGGGGGGGAGCGTGTGGAGGGGGGGAGCGTGTGGAGGGGGGAGCGTGTGGAGGAGTGTGGGAGCGTGTGGAGGGAGCGTGTGGAGGGGGCGTGGGAGGGAGTGTGTGGGGGAGCGTGTGGAGGGGAGCGTGTGGAGGGAGGGGAGGGGCGTGTGGAGGGGAGCGTGTGGAGGGGAGCGTGTGGAGGGGGAGCTGTGGAGGGGGGAGCGTGTGGAGGGGGAGCGTGTGGAGGGGGGAGCGTGTGGAGGGGGAGCGTGTGGGGGGGTGAGAGCGTGTGTGGGGGGGGGAGCGTGTGTGGGGGGAGCGTGTGTGTGGGGGGAGGCGTGTGTGGGGGGGAGCGTGTGGGGGGGAAGCGTGTGGGGGGAACGTGTGTGGGGGGAAAGCGTGTGTGGGGGGGAGCGTGTGTGGGGGGAGCGTGTGTGGGGGGGAAGCGTGTGTGGGGGGAGCGTGTGTGGGGGAGCATGTGTGGGGGGGTGGAGAGCATGTGTGGGGGTGTGAGAGCATGTGTGGGGGGGAGCGTGTGTGGGGGGAGCGTGTGGGGGGGAGCATGTGTGGGGAGCGTGTGTGGGGGGGAGCGTGTGTGGGGGTGTGAGAGCATGTGTGGGGGGGGGCATATGTGGGGGGAAGCATGTGTGGGGGGAGCGTGTGTGGGGGGAGGCGTGTGTGGGGAGCATGTGTGGGGGGAGCATGTGTGGGGGTGTGAGAGCATGTGTGGGGGGGGAGCGTGTGCGGGGGTGTGAGCGTCGTACCCCTCTATACCTAGAAGGCGAGAGAGAAAAATGTACGACAACATCAAGAATTTTCAGTCTTTTCAATAACAAGAAATAAGCCACAAAATCAACAGAACACAGGAGAAACTATATTAGTGGAGATTTTTAATCTTGAGTTAACTATAATAGATGAACTGAAATTAACTGTTACCAGCTAGTGGTTACGGGAGTCATCGCCCCCGCGGCCAGGTCTCTGGCTAGGCCTAGTAAATTTCAAAAGAATTATTACAGGACTGACAACTATTAAGCAATGCAGGGGAGTGTATACTAATTTAAGTAGACATTTGTAAGATTTACCTCCTATAAAAAATAAAAAGAAAGAAAATAACAGGAATACTAGATATGGAAGGGAAGCTACCAAGTGAAAATTTAATACGAGAAGCCAGTGACCATATGGTTGTTTCGACCAGCTGGTGGACGTGGGAGATTAAGAATAGCAAGAACAGACTCGCAAGAAATGTCAGGCTGGACGAGTTTTTCAATGTAATGCATTGGAAAAAA